GTTTAGACATTAATGGCTGTGTGTTGAGTTATTTTGAGGGGACAGCAAATTTACACTGTTATACAAGCTGTACACTCACTACTTTACATTGTAGCAAAGTGTCATTTCTTCAGTGTTGTCACATGAAAAGATGTAATAAAATATTTACAAAAATTTGAGGGGTGTACTCACTTCTGTGAGATACTGTAAATGCCCCTTTTTACATCTGAGCCCCTGCCCCCGAGGAACTCTCTTGTACATCCCTGATGTGATCATGTTTTATCAGTGTAGTGATTGTTGTCAGTGTGACTTACTGAACTGATCTGGATTCTTTAACCACAGGCAGCAGCTTCTGAAGAACTTCATCTGCTATATTTTGAGCTCCAATAAACCATTTTAGATCAAAAACATCCATCTCCTGCTCTGATGTCAGCAACACATAAACCAGAGCTGACCACTGTGAAGAGGAGAGTTTGGCTGCTCTTATTTTTCCATATCTCAGATAATGTTGGATCTCCTGCATCAGTGAATCATCACCCAGTTCATTCAGACAGTGGAACAGATTGATGGATCTCTCTGGAGAGCGATTCTGCCTGATCTTCTGCTTGATGTACTGAACTGTTTCCTCTTTTTTGTAGGAGCAGCTTTCTATCTGTGTCAGTAGTTCTCGTAAGAGAGTCTGATTGGACTCCAATGATAGACCCAGAAGAAAACGCAGGAAAAGATCCAGATGTCCATTCTCACTCTTTAAGGCATTATTCACAGCTGTCTTATGCAGGTGAGATATTGAATTATATTTCTTCTGGTTTAAAGCTTTGGAGAAGAGACTTTGTTTGGTTTGGTCAAATGCATTGATGTCGTCATTTATAAAGGAGCGGTGTGCATATAGAGCTGCAAGATGTTCCTGGATGGTCAGATGAACAAAGCAGAAGACTTTCCCCTGATTCAAGCCAAACTCCTCTCTGAAGATCTGAGTGCACAATCCTGAGTACACTGATGCTTCTGTCTCATCAATGCCACACTCAATCAGGTCTTCCTCATAGAAGATCAGGTTGCCTTTCACAAGCTGCTCAAAAGCCCGTTTCCCCAGTCTGAGAATCATGTCTTCATCTTTGACTTTCTTCTCATAGTCCTTCTCATGTTTGATGTTGATAGTGTACTAAGACTTTAGGGGAAAAAAAAAAACATAAATACAAAATATATATATACTGTATATAAACACACAAATTCAGCAGCTTTTAGATCTTGTTGGTCCAATTTTGTCGACACATATTCAACTGCTGGCGGCTCTTTCTCTCTTTTTCTCCGCAATAGTAGTAGCTGTTGATTATATGTTTCTCCTGTTGTGTTTTTATTGAGTAGGTCATCCAATAACAGAAATGAGTGATTTACACCAATATGTGATGCTGCTGCTGGGGCTTGTGGGCAGAGCTGCTGAATTCTGTGTACTAGAAAATTTTGCAAATGCAATTCAAACAGACAGTAAAATATACATATCAACATCATTAGAGGACAAATCTGTTTGCTGTCAGTTTTGACCTCCGTCACATTCAATCCTTCAGCTTCACCTTTCACACTGACCTCTACAATCATCCAGCTTTCACACAGACCACACAAAAATCTTCTCAGCTGGTTTAGTAAGTGTGTCTCACCTCGTCTGCTCACTGCCAGAAATGTGATTCTAAGAGATTTTCCTATTTTGTTAATTTGGTTAAAAACAGCACATCTTAAAATGATAAATGTGATCATGGTGAAAGTGGAGTGACTGTTTTCAGTGTTACTTACCGAACTGATCTGGATTCTTTAACCACAGGTAACAGATTCTGAAGAACTTCGTCTGCTGTATGCTGTTTTCCAACAAACAGTTTTAGATCCAACACATCCATCTTCTCTTCTGATGTCAGCAAAACATAAACCAGAGCAGACCACTGTGAAGAGGAGAGTTTGGTTTCTCTTATTTCTCCAGATTTCAGATAATCCTGGATCTCCTGCATCAGTGAATCATCACCCAGTTCATTCAGACAGTGGAACAGATTGATGGATCTCTCTGGAGAGCGATTCCTCCTGATCTTCTGCTTGATGTACTCAACTGTTTCCTCTTTGTTGTAGGAGCAGCTTCTTGTCTGTGTCAGTAGTTCTCGTAAGAGAGTCTGATTGGACTCCAATGATAGACCCAGAAGAAAACGCAGGAAAAGATCCAGATGTCCATTCTTACTCTGTAAAGCCTCATTCACAGCTCTCTGATGTAGTTCAGATAATGAATTATATTTTTTCTGCTTAAAAATCTTAAGCAACAGACTTTTTGTTTGGTCAAACACACTGATGTTGTTGATTGTAAAGGAGAAGTGCACATATAGAGCTGCTAGATGTTCCTGAAGGCTCAGATGAACAAAGCTGAAGAGATTCAAGCCATTCAAGCCAAACTCCTCTCTGAAGATCTGAGTGCACAATCCTGAGTACACTGATGCTTCTGTCTCATCAATGCCACACTCTCTCACTCATAGATCATAGAAGATCAGGCTGCCTTTCACAAGCTGCTGAAAAGCCAGTTTCCCCAGTTTGAGACTTTATCTTTCATCTTTGACTTTCTTCTGATAGTCCTTCTCACGTTTGATGTTGGTCTGAAGGATCAGGAAGTGTGTGTACATTTGAGTGAGAGTCTTGGGAATCTCTCCACTCTCTGCTCGACTCAACATCTTCTCTAGAACAGCGGCTGAGATCCAGCAGAACACTGGGATGTGGCACATTATGAAGAGGCTCCTGTTTGACTTCAGGTGTGAGATGATCCTGTTGGCCAGACTCTGATCACTGATTCTCTTCCTGAAGTATTCCTCCTTCTGTGGATCATCGAAGCCTCGTACCTCTGTCATTCGATGGACACACTCAGAGGGAATGAGATCAGCTGCTGCTGGTCTGGAGGTGATCCAGATGAGAGCAGAGGGAAGCAGATTCCCCATAATGAGGTTCGTCAGCAGCACGTCCACCGAGACTGATTCACTCTCATCACACAACCTCACATCGCTCTGAAAATCCAGAGACAGACGACACTCATCCAGACCATCAAAGATGAACAACACTTTATATTCACCACTAAATGGTTTAATTTCTATTGTTTCAGGAAAAAAGACAAGAAGAAGATCTGAAAGTCTGAGTGTTTTGTCCGTCATCAAGTTGAGCTCTCTGAAAGGAAGTGGAAATATGAGCTGGATATCCTGATTCTCTTTCTCTTCAGCCCAGTCCACAATGAACTTCTGCACAGAGACTGTTTTTCCAATGCCAGCGACTCCCTTTGTCAGCACAGTTCTG